TCTGTGACTTCAGTACCCTCGCTGCAAGCACATATCAGCCAAACAAGTACTCCTATCAGAGCCCCATAGTCCTGGATCTTAGCCTTGGTCCAGGAAACTTCTAAATGCATCTAGAGCAAACTAGGGTTTCCAGAGATTCGAATAGAATAGCAATATCATCAGCAAAGTAAATACGGTTGATAACCTTAATAATGCCCAGTATTACTCCATAATGACTTTGGACAGCAGCTCTGCCCAGTATCTAGTTCATGCAAGTGTTGCAGTGTTGGTGCAAGAACACCAAGCTCGACAGGCCCCCACCACATTTTAAAGCAGTTTCAGTACCAGTATAAAGGCTTGTTTTTAATCCAATAATCCTTGATGGGATTCCCTTAAGTCTCAGGATACATTACATTGTGAATCACTCCCAGAGTGAACTTAAGACAGCACTCTACAGTGACTCAAAGTGCCAGGATACAGATTGCTCCAGCCTCTGGTATCTTAGTATGTGGTTTCTAGTATGTCTCAGAAGAATGTGAATGAGAACTTTAAATGGTATACTAAGCAGTGTAATGCCTTAGTAGTTGTACCAATCCCATCGATCTTCCTTTCCCTTCCAGAGAAGGATGATAACACTCTTCAACAGGTCTTGGGGAATAGCACCAGTCTGCCAGATGGCAGTCAGGTCAGCATGTAAACCTCTCACCATAAGTTTACCACAAGCCATTATAAGTTTAGTAGGAATGCCGCAGACACCCGCTATTTTACCAGTCCTCAGCTTGGAGATCGCCTCTCTTACTTCAGGTAGAGGGTAGCGGGATGCTTAGCAGGAAGATCACGCAGGAAGTCTAGCCATATTACTTAGTGAATGAACAGCTACAAATTCTATTTAAGGGTAATTTATTGTATCCATTAGAGAAAGGTGGCCCAGCTAAAATGTAAATAATACTCTAATAATGAAACACCAATCTGAAATCAACACAACTTATAGATTACCTGTTATATTTAACTGTTTAGATATATCAGCTCAGCATTTTTTGAGGACACCAACATTCTTGTGCAGGGGCTCTGCAGGGTCTCATACTACCCTCCGATGAAAATCTGCACATATCCTTTCATCACTTCTCATGTTGGAGCTGGTGCACATGCATATCGCCTGGCATCTCGCAAGCTATTGTGCAACTTTAACTGACGTGTTAGTTCATATAATGGGGAGGATAGCGGATAAGCTTAGAGGAAACCTGCTGCCTGCATATGGTATGTTTGTTGTTGCCTCTGACCTGCAAAGCACCTTGCTACCCTCTACTCTCCCAGCAAATCTTATGCAGTGTATTCATACCCTTAGGGAGATTGGCTCCTCGCTCATGAGTGGGTCCAGCAAAGGGATCTCACCACCTGTATCCATCTTGACTGTTGATGGATCAGCCTGGCACAACTGCTCAAGATACTCAACCCAATATTACTGCACCCTCAACATGGTCTATTATGATCTGGCCACTTACTGAGCAGATTACAGCATTCTGTGGGTTGGGCTTGGATTTGGTAGGTCGTTTGTTGAAAAATGGCTTTCGACTTCTTCCAAAAGATTCCCCACAAACTGTTCCTTACCCTTTTCAACAATGACTGAGTCCTACACATCAGGAAACAATGCAAGTCATATTCCATCAGAGCTGTGTGACAAGCATCCATGGTTTCCAATGTCTTCTTAGAGTCCATCATGTTGATTGGTGTGAAACGACAAGAGATAGCCTTACCAAACCCCTGTGCAACCTAGCAGCCACTAGCCACAACCTGCATCACCACATATTTCCCAGTTTAGGTCACACTAGGTCCACAGCCTTGTCCTTACTCCAGCACCATGACTAGCAACCTGCAGCACCATATATTACCCAGATTGGGTCACACCAGGTCCACAGCCTTGTCCTCACTCAAGTAACAGCAGCATTTGTGGAAAATAGATCATTTATATAGAGCAAGAAAAGGAAAGCCCTGGAGGACACCAGAAGAGACACGGACAAGTCAGATACAGACGGGTCATATATGGTATCATTAAGAAGAATGCTTCGTGTCCTGTTAGAGAAAAGCTGTGATCCAGTGAAGGGTTTGTCCAGTGATTATGTAAATCTGTAGTTTTTGTCTTTTATGGAGGGGGCTTTGTTGAAGGCTTTGGCTGTCTAACACTATTTTGTCTACCTGTTTAACATCACATCTGCCTAGGATTCTGGAAATGTCATGATGACTAACAATGAGTTAGGATTCGCATGATCGTTTGGATCGGAATCTGTTGCATATAAGTTAGTATATTGTTTGCGTCAAGATGTGTGTCAACACAATTTATAGATTAAACGACAGGCAAGAGTGATTTACAGGAAGAAATTATGGAAGTAGAAGTATGATGTGCTCAAAGATTTTGGAGAGGGAGATGGGACAATAATTTGATGGGCCTGAGGGATTGCATAACGATGATTTGGAGGGTAGGGGCTCAGTTTTCAAATAGGAAGGGATTTTGTCAAGATCAGTTTTGTTACTGTCTCCAGTAGTTTCATATTCTGTCTTCCCTAATGTTGGGTTGGGTGTGTGGAGGTTGTTTGGCATGTTCGGTGGTGTAATGGGGTTTTCTTGTGTGAAGACAGAGTAAACTGTATGTTGAGTAGGTGTGCTTTATGTTCTGGTGTGGTGACAAGGGTGTTGTCGTCTTTAAGTGCAGCTATGTTAGTCGTGTCCTGTCTGCACATCTTGAAGAACTTCAAGAAATGTCTAGGGTTGTTTTTACAGTGCCGGTGAGATATCTACTGGTGTGTTCGTATTCGGCCTTCTTTATGTTTTTGGCAAATCCCTTTTGGAAAGATTTAAAGGCAGGCCAGTTCTTTTGTGTGTTGTGTAATCATACGCGTCTATAGAGTCCATTTTCTTCGATGTTGTCTGCGTAGGTCTTTGGAGAAGCAGGGGAGTATATGTTTACTCGAAGTTGCCTTTTGTGGTATGTGGTTGTTGAAGGGTTTCGAGATATTCCAGTTTCCACTGAGGATGTTGGGAGTACAGGTCGGAAAACAGGAAATTGTGTTTGCAAATCGCCTGTCCACTCTAGAGAAGAGTAAGATCCTCGTTTGTGTTTCTAACTGGTCAGTCACAGGTTTGTGGCAACAAGAACGATATCACCAGCAATCCAAATGGGTTTGGATGCATGGGAGAGATGTGTGAAGGTTTTGTAAGTATTCTATGTTAGAAGATGGGCACAAAACGACAAGCAAGAGTGATTTACAGGAAGAAATTTGTATTCAAGTGGTGATGAGGTCACCACCACCTCTTCCTATGTCAATTGGTCTGTCTCTGCATATCACTGTCATATGGGTGAGGTCAATGCCAGGTGTCAAGCATGTCTCTGTACCTATTATGATGTCCGGATTGTATATCAATATGAGAGAGGAGTTGGAACTTTATGGATAGAATGCTGCAGAAAATAATGTTGAGGAATCGTAGGGCTGAGAGGTTTGGGTGAAATACGGAGTCGTGTTGGTTGTGGATGTGGGGGGAGGGGGGCACAGGAGAGGCTGTAGCTACCACAAAGTTGGAATTGTGCCGTCCTAAAGTCATTTTTCGTCTCTGGAGTCGTTCATATGTAACAACAGCGTTTTGAGAACCACTGCAGTTGCAAAATCCCCCTTGTAGTGCCAACATTCACACAGAGTGAAACATACATTTTGAGGACAGTAGGCACCATCACTGGTTGTATGCCAGTCAATGAAAGAAGAGACTGTATATTGCCATGGCATCCCTGGACACCACTGATTCCCGTGATGAGTAGTAAACACATCAGTGCAGGTGGGTCACACAAGCAAAGAAGCCGAAGCTCAATCCAGGCAACCTGCATATTGTTGACATTTTGGAAAAGAGTTTAGCAGCAAGACAAATGAAAACACAGCTATGCAGTGATAAACTCTTTTGCTTATCACTCTATAAAGAACCAAAGTTTAGCTGTTGAATGTAGTTCATCGTGCTCAAACATTTGGAGCCATTCCACCATCCATACATGTATAGTCGATCATAACCACATCATCCAGGGCACACTACTCACAGTCACATGTTCGCCCACATCAGACACTAGACCAGTCCACCAGTCTCTTGAAAATGCAACCATACGCAAGTACTGCAAGTACTTCACGCTACAATAAACACACACCGACACCACCTTCAATAGTCTATTTGATTACTCCTTCACCAGGGACTGTAACCCGTTTCTGATACACAGTCAGAATATATTGAAATGTTAGTAAGGGATCAGAAAAGTTGTCACAAAGCCACGAGATAGATTACCAACGTAATAGTAATACACGGTATATTAACGTACAGTAGATATAAAACGCAAACGACACCGAACGTTAGTTACAAGCACTTAGTCACTGCACTCAGTCACCACATTACGTCACTGCTCTCAGTCACTGGATTTTGTTACTGCACTAGGTCACTGCCCTAAGTTATTGCAATATAAGCGGTACTACATCGAGAGAGGAGGGAAGGTCGACCGCCACGTATCCAGTTGATGCCCCTTCTATTCTTCCCAATGGTGGCAAGAGCGATGTCCTATCTCCCATGCGGTGTGTGACTAGACACCGATGATCTGAGGCCGCAGACCGCGCCCGGGTATACATCACTGAAGGTCCTGGGCACACCCGAGTTTTTCCCTCATGTGGTGAGGCGGCCAATCATAGGTGAGCTAATGCCGACACTCGGGCTCTGGTAAACACCGGCAAAGGTTCACATTCCCCCAAAATAAACTTGACAGAAACCTATATATGTGTAGTAGGGAAATAGTTAAAAAATGTATGATAGGTCTCGCTTTTCTCACTCTCTCTCTTTCTCAAAACAAAATATATTTTTCTGTTTAGCCCTCATCTTTCTAAGAAGTAAATTAAATGATTTATTTTCCTTTGGTTGCATCCACATCACTATCAAGTGGATCCTAGAATGCCATTTTTTCTTTGGCATTGATATAAACAGAATTGCATCAATAAAACTGATTACTATAAAGAACTCGCCTTAATGTTCTTAATGTTATGACAAGTCCCTGTGCCGCCGAGCAGATGGAATCCCTCATCATGGTGTTGGCTGAAGATGTCCTTGATTAGTTTCAGCATGGCGTCGAAGGATTTCACTTTCTCAAAGAAAAAAAGGCAAAACTCTGAGTTGGTTGAACCCAACGTCGTCTGTCGCTGTTTGTGGTGATTCAAGCGGCGATGCGACAGCCAAACGCATGCTGCCTCTTCCTCATTCATCCCGGTTGTGGCGGCGGCCACCATAGTTCAAAACTGACTGTGCAAACAGGACCCATGAGGTCTGTATGGAAATGGAAGGAAGGGGAAATGAGGAGAAGGGAGTAATGAAGGAAGAGGGAGGGAGGGAAGTAAAATGAGAAAGTCGGGAGAGAGGGGGCAGGAGGAGGGTGGGGATAAGAAAAAGAGGAAGGGGGGGAGGATGGGCATGATCAGATAGTGCAAGAGAGGGCAGGGTTTTAAAGAGGAGCCGTGGGTGGGGGCGGGAGCAATGGGAAATGGCACTGAGTGGGAGGATGAAATCGGAAGGTCTGAGCGTTGTAGGTGTTGAATGCTAAGGTTTGGGGTGGCGAATATTAGAAGGTATATGAGGAGGTAGCTTGTGTATGGCTGTCATCTTTTTTCCCGAACATAAGACGTCAGTACTTAGGGAGAATGACGTCACAGATTGCTGATTGGCTAGTGTCTATGCTGCTAGCGCAAAAGGTTCGGTGAAACTGTCCTACGCCTCATTCTATGCACGACACTGTGGGAATCACATCCAGAACATGTATATAGTCGAACAACTCTCTCTCCCTCTCTCTCGGTAATATAAATAAATCTAACCATATATCCCGCCTCTGTCTCCCTCCCTCTCTCTCTCTCACTCACTCAATCCCTCTTTAAAGTTCTCTCAATTCCTTTCTCTTCCTTCTCTCTCTTCTCTCTCTCTCTCCCTTCTCTCTCTCTCTTCTTCTTCTTCTCTCTCTCTTTCTACCAGAATACGTTTAGGTTATAGAATGTACTGGCAACTGCAAGGTGCATGAAGTGCAGATGAATCTAGATGTAGACTGTGTAACGAGGAAAGTAAGCGAACGCTTGAGCATTATATCTCGGAGTGTCATGTGATACAGCCTTTCAGACCACCAAACATGAGGAATAAAGAACTGTGTGATTATTTTATTGCATCTGATACATTGGAAGATATACTCATCCTAATTTCACTATGTAAAACTATCATAATCATAGAACACACCACAAAACACAAAGGCAAAGGTAGACCACCTTAGGTAATATACGTTTGTATGCTGTATGAAATATTCCCATTTTACCTTATATGATTAATGTAATCACAGATTACTGTACTCTGTCGATTGTATGTTCATGTATGTAACACTGTATTCACGATTGCCCACGCCTGAGCAGTTAGCCAGGGTAGTAAATACTTACTTAACTTGAATTACTTCATATCATCTCAGGTCTTGGAAGATATACTTATCCCAAATTTGGAATGTAGTATCATATGACTACATATCAAATGTTACATTGCCTTTCCACGCCCAAGTCGTACGCCGGCTTAGAAGATGAGTAGATAAATAACTGTGTGATTGTTCTTTTCTTTTAAATGCTATATTATAGATCGTAATAATGTTATGATTTAGATTTCCACTGTAATACTATTATATAATGCTTTGACTATGTATCACATGTACCACAGCTTGCTCACGCCTGTGCAGTTAGCCAGGGTGGCAAATAAGGGACCAAACTAAACTAAAAAATACTTCCATGAAATACTATGTATATAAAAAATAAGTATATTCAGATAATTTCCGTGTATTCCATGACCTTATGTTTTTTATATATTGTTACTTAGCCTAACCTAGATGCAATGACTTTTTGGTCGTGGATCATAATTCAGATTTAGGAATTTTTTTTTCTAACTCAAAATTTCATGGACAGATTTTAATGTCTGCCTAACTTAGATTGCATAAACTTTTGGTGGTGATTCGAATCATTTGGCAAACCTACCCCCAATTTAAGGGGAGGATTTTTTCAAGTTAAACTGTCGAAATATGATCAAAACATAAAGAAAGAAAATACTTCATATAATTGGCATATCATTTTTATATATTTGTATACACACATTCTTCATTATTGTTTTTTTAATGCTTCCCAGATATTTTAGATTATTCCGAAAAAATGAAGGTAGGTCTCATATTATGTAAAATTTTATAAGCTTTCAGAAAATAATCTCTTTTTTATATATCCAATTGTTGTGTCACAATTCATATTTCAAAAGCGGCTACTACCACCTGAAAAATAGTGGTTGGTCCTTAAAAAAAGAAGACCAGACACTCCCCTTATGTGCTCCTTTTAAAGTGTGGCAAGGGAGTGTAATTGTCCTTGTTAACACATAATGCAATAGTGTATGAATAGTAAGTGCTAATAGAGGGTAAGGTGTGGTTTTATGTGGCGTTTAAATAGGACGTTCATATCTTCTATGGGAGTCTTTGTGCACGTTGTCCTGTTACTAGCTGGAGAGTACGAGTCGAGTTTAGGTACTTACTTGATGACAATGATAATCATAATGATGATGGTTATAATAAGGATAATGACAATGATAGTGATGATAATGATAACAATGTTAGCGATAATGATAACAATTATATAAATAACAGTAACAGAAGTAAGAGTCATTCAAAATGATATTGATAAGAGGAAAAGGTACCTATACTTGGTGCACTGTTATAGCTGTGCGGACTAATTTCTTTTATGCATCTTAAAAGAAGTGTGCATTTACCTATTCTGCTATGTAAGACATATACTGATAACATTTGTCTACTTCAACAGAAACAGAAAGATTCCAGAACCAAGAAACAAAATGAATACCATGGATTAACACAGCAACAGTTGACAAAGCAAGGTCAGAATGAGCAGGCTCATCAGCAACAGCCTGCACATCCAGCTCCCAGATTTACACAGCAGTTGTTGGATCAGGAGAAAGAATCTCAAAGGAACAGTGAGGCAGAATGGAGAAGGAAAGAAAAGGCTCGTCAGCAACAGCTTGAGCCCCCAGCTCCCAAATTTACACAGCAGCAGTTGTTGGACCAGGAGGAAGAACTACGGAAGAGAGAGGCAGAATGGAGGAAAGAGCAGGCTCGTCAGCAACAGCTTGAGCCCCTAGCTCCCAAATTTACACAGCAGCAGTTGTTGGACCAGGAGGAAGAACTTCTACGGAAGAGAGAGGCACAATGGAGAAAGAATGAGCAGGTTCGTCAGCAACAGCCTGCGCATCCAGCTCCCAGATTTACACAGCAGCAGTTGTTGGACCAGGAGGAAGAACTTTTACGAAAGAGAGAGGCACAATGGAGAAAGAATGAGCAGGTTCGTCAGCAACAGCCTGCGCATCCAGCTCCCAGATTTACACAGCAGCAGTTGTTGGACCAGGAGGAAGAACTTCTACGGAAGAGAGAGGCACAATGGAGAAAGAATGAGCAGGTTCGTCAGCAACAGCCTGCGCATCCAGCTCCCAGATTTACACAGCAGCAGTTGTTGGACCAGGAGGAAGAACTTCTACGAAAGAGAGTGGCACAATGGAGAAAGAATGAGCAGGTTCGTCAGCAACAGCCTGCGCATCCAGCTCCCAGATTTACACAGCAGCAGTTGTTGGACCAGGAGGAAGAACTTCTACGGAAAAAGAGAGGCAATGGAGAAAGAATGAGCAGGTTCGTCAGCAACAGCCTGCGCATCCAGCTCCCAGATTTACACAGCAGCAGTGTTGGACCAGGAGAAGAACTTCTACGGAAGAGAGAGGCACAATGGAGAAAGAATGAGCAGGTTCGTCAGCAACAGCCTGCGCATCCAGCTCCCAGATTTACACAGCAGCAGTTGTTGGACCAGGAGGAAGAACTTCTACGGAAAAGAGAGGTACAATGGAGAAAGAATGAGCAGGTTCGTCAGCAACAGCCTGCGCATCCAGCTCCCAGATTTACACAGCAGCAGATGTTGGACCAGGAGGAAGAACTTCTACGGAAGAGAGAGGCACAATGGAGAAAGAATGAGCAGGTTCGTCAGCAACAGCCTGCGCATCCAGCTCCCAGATTTACACAGCAGTTGTTGGATCAGGAGAAAGAATCTCAAAGGAACAGTGAGGCAGAATGGAGAAGGAAAGAAAAGGCTCGTCAGCAAAAGCTTGAGCCTCCAGCTCCCAAATTTACACAGCAGCAGTTGTTGGACCAGGAGGAAGAACTTCTACGAAAGAGAGAGGCAGAATGGAGGAAAGAGTAGGCTCGTCAGCAACAGCTTGAGCCCCTAGCTCCCGAATTTACACAGCAGCAGTTGTTGGACCAGGAAGAAGAACTTCTACGGAAGAGAGAGGCACAATGGAGAAAGAATGAGCAGGTTCGTCAGCAACAGCCTGCGCATCCAGCTCCCAGATTTACACAGCAGCAGTTGTTGGACCAGGAGGAAGAACTTCTACGAAAGAGAGAGGCAGAATGGAGGAAAGAGTAGGCTCGTCAGCAACAGCTTGAGCCCCTAGCTCCCGAATTTACACAGCAGCAGTTGTTGGACCAGGAAGAAGAACTTCTACGGAAGAGAGAGTCAGAATGGAGAAAGAATGGGCAGGTTCGTCAACAACAGCTTGAGCCATCAGATTCCAGATTTACACAGCAGCAGTTGTTGGACCAGGAAGAAGAACTTCTACAGAAGAGAGAGGCAGAATGGAGAAAGAATGAGCAGGCTAGTCAGAAATAGTTTAGTTATTTATAATAGTTTTACACCATGTTCCCGGCAACCACGTTTCTGGCCTCCATGGATAAAACATGATAGACGTGATGTGTGATACTATCTGTGAGAATGGGAAGGGTAGATTGACAAGCCATAATTGCCGCGGATGCTAGTTCAGATTTTTTTAATTTCCGAAAATTTGCCATGACAGTCACAGTGCAGATGAGAAATTAAGTAGATTGTAGTAACAAGGGATGAATGCAACAAAAACACTACATACTAGGCTTTAGCAAAACTTGGAGGCAGTCTGTAGTGTGACAGGAGGCATAATGATAATTTAGGGTTTGCTGTGACAGTCTCCTGTGACATCAGTCAAATTGTGGTTAGCTTTTCTCCTTTCATTCTTCTCTCCTATGTCTTCTTGTCTGTCTGTTTCTTCCAACTTTAGCATTGAAATCTCCCATAACTATGTTTAGTTCATGACCCTTGCATCTTATTTACGTCTAATTCTTCCATTTCTTCTTCAGTAGAAGCACTTGTTGGCGCATAAACCTGTCTAACATTTATATTGAAAAGTTTAGTTTTCAGTTTCACTAGAGCTACTCTATCTGATGTTGGCCAAAATCCAAAACTGATTTTGCAACTTTTTTGTTTAGTAAAATTCCGACTCCTCCTCCTCCTCCTCCTCCCAAGTAGTACACAGTATAATCTTGTCTTAGAGCTCCCACTTTTTGTCCATGAGCATGTTGAGTTATGAAACAGAAAAGTTCAAAACACAAGCCTGCATCACGACTACCACCAGTAGAGCAGAACCAGAGCAGCTAAATGCAACTGCTGACCTGGATCCAGAACCCAAGGAAGCACTTACTGGAAGGGCTCCCAGTGCCATAACCAGCTTTATGGAGAAGGAACTCTCTACCGAATTCCTTCCACAACAATTAATACTTTATTCCAAGAGGCTATCCAGCTATAAACTATAAATTTATGGAGTAAGCAAGCCAGGCAAATGGATGCACACCTAGAGTGATTGCTATTGGTTTGGAGGACTTCTTTTTATACCATGGACATGAATGTGCTCCAGACCTACCCGCCGTCATGGTTTCATACGCAGAAGGCTTTGGCAAAACAGGTAAAAATTATCAGACATTTATCAGAAAGTGAAAGGCCTGGATAGAACGTTTCTATTCGTGGTAGACCACGGAATGAAAAGTAGTGCACATTTGAGCCCCCCACGGCTGAGACCAAGAGGAACCTTAGAAAGACCTAACATACCTTGAATATAGAGAAAAAATGGCCAAAATTCATTTGCTGATCTCCCTCACAGATTAATGTCGCAATAGTAGGTTGACAAACTGGGGAACTCTTAAGCCAGTCTTCCTAGGGATCTAATGACTTCTTTAAGATTACCTTTGTCACATTTTCTGCAGATTCAAGGTGTACTCTTTTCAAAAAAATATTTGAATTGACAAATGCGTTCTATGATAAGGATCTTCAGTTGGGTTTATATTGCACATAGGTATCTACATACCTTGCCTCATAGGTGTTCAAAACAGTTAATGCCATGGAATAATGCATCATTCACAGTGTTCGTCTGTTTTGAATGCGCTTGGGGCGTGGCTTGTAGATGCCTGCATACATGACTGATTGGGCTTACTAGGTGCCTTCCGTATTGCACAAGATAAAAATTTCTTGATCACTATTGCCACAAATTTATATATATTGCTGGAAATAGCAGTTATGTTTTCTATCAAACAAAGCACTATGGAGAAGCAATCAAAGTATAGGATCTTGTCATGCATATGTATAAGCCAGCATGTAATCCCTCTTTTGTTTTCCTTTTGTGTCAAACACTTTTTGGTACTCTCACACATGTCGCGGATTTTGGCACATAGTGCTTTTGTACCTTCATCAAGTAGTAAGCAGGACAATGGATATAAAGATAGCTCATAAAAATAAGTCCTGTGACATGCTGCACTTCTCAAAATGTAGGATCCTGTCCATAATAGTAGTAGATAAGGTCTAGTGAACCCCATACAGTGTGTAGCAGCACCAGACAAGTATAGCCCGGGTATCAGGAAAAAATATCTTAGAAGAATGGCGGACATGCAGATCAGCTGATGCTGTGTAGCATAATCTTCGCCATTAGTCAAAGAGCAGTAGGTCAAAGCAGTGGCCTGTTTTAAGACAGATCTATAAAGATTATTTTTCTATGAAGAATATAGGGGTACCATTGTGGATGCATGTTCTGTTGTCTTTTGTTCAAGTAATTACGAGTGCTAGTAGGCATCAAGTGCATCCTAGGTAAAGACGGAGAGAGAGATGACCTGATAGGAAAATATAGATACTGTTAAGATATTTTTCCTGATCAAAAATATAGATACTGTTAAAATATTTTTCCTGATCAAAAATATAGATACTGTTAAGATATTTTTTCCTGATCAAACAGCTACCAGAGACATTGTTAGCCTGCCATTATTTATCGATCTAACAGAGCAAGGACCTTTCTCTAGAACTGAAATTTGTATGTGAATGGACTTCCTCACAGATCCCGAAAAGGAAAAACGAAAATAAAGAAAATATGATTAGAGACGGTTTGAATCTCCATCTTTTCTATTTTATCTGTAATTTTCTGTAATTTTCATTCACTTTGATGCAATTCTGTTGCCATTAAAGATATTTCTTCTTATTCTAAATTCAGTATTCTACCATCAGTTCCATAAACGAAGATTATCATTCTAACAGAAATAAAATGCGATCACATCATGCTTATACAGTAATAGACAACGGCGCTTTATCACAAATTGGGAAGTGGTCATATGTTATGGGGTTTATTCCGGGAGCGAGGGTGAGATTGCAAGATCCCTTGCCAGATGTTTCGGTGCTGATGGAAGACGCATGACGCAAGGAAACAGATGCCCCTCAGACTAACAAAGATGGATGGTTTCAGAGATCGCCAGTAGCGCCTGTGAAAATCCTGTATAATGGAATAGGATGGATGGCAGACGCTATATTAATGTTCTGTATTGTAGTATTGTAACAAGTCAGGTCTTTGTGGATGAGCTGCTTGCGTGATGGACTGGGCAGGGGCTGTGTAAGCAGCCACCACTAGCACTGGCGCAAAGGAGGGTTTCAAATTATAATCGTAATTTGATTGACATGATTACTGAAAATTATGCTATTGTTATTGTAATTATAAATGATTTCAGAATTTAAGGAAGTAATTGTAACTGTGAATAAATATATAAATTATTTGTAACTATGGGAAAATAAAGTATTAGTAAAATTCTGATTAGCTCGTCTATATGGCAGACCTTGGTAGCAAATGTGTGTATAGATTACGAGGTCAGGAAACCCGTAGTCCCCACTCCTGTGACATATTGCCTCATCGACCTGCCATACAGTGAGGTGACAGAGGGCCTCTCAATGATCCTTTTATTGGAACAGTATGTATCGTTGAATCCACTAAAGAATCTTGCAAGAGAGGTAATTGGGTGTACCGCTGCATTAGCTCCAGAGCGAGTTTTTAGCAGGAAACTATTTCATCACAAATCACTCATTCTGGGGGCAATTTGAAATTCCAGGCTTAGGCTCTGCCCACAGAAGTCCATTTATTTAAAAGATAGTCTATGATGAAATGTATGTGAGAATGCTGAAAAGTTTGTGTTGACTCAAAAGAGTAGATTTAACATAAAACAAATGACTGGTTGCATTGATAAATGAATCTTAAATTTGAATTTCTACACAGGACACATTCATCTTTAAACTCATGTAAGATTGCATAAGATTAGTTTTTTCAGATGAAAAAAAAGAATATACAAAAAATAATTATGCATTTCAATATTCTAGCTTGATAATCAAACAGTCAAAGCACAGAGTCGCAGCGGGAAAGGCTAGATTAGTAGCAACTCAAGGTGTCTGTTTATTTTAACGAATGCTTTGTGAATATGGTCGATCATTTTGGTCTTTTCAGTTTTCAAAAAGGATGGAAAATGTTGATTTTAATTGTTAAACAATCACCAAAATAGCCCTGTGGATGAGAAGAGTGGGCGATTATGTTTATGCACGAATGATTCTTAAATGGAATTGCTCATAGTGGGAGTCAAGCCAAGGCCTGTATTATTACTTAGCTTGAAGGAATGAAGTAAGCCTACTTTTATAAATATCTCCATGCACTCAGTGAATGTGTAGGATACCAGGCCAGGCTATTTTTAGAATAGCACATGTTCATATTTACCTTTTGTACAATATCCAACGGTATTAAAGTTTCACGGCGGCAACACCCTAATTGCCATCGGAAAAGATGGCTCATATTCACAAAGCATCCCTAACTTTTGTTACGTCATCAAAATAAACAGATGACATGACACTTCATAGAGTTGCTACTGACCAAGCCTTCCCCAGAGTCGCAACCAGAGCAATAGTCAAATTTGTTTATATTTTCATAGACAGCAAGGGATCTACGAAGATGGGGCAGGTCCAGAGAATTTCCTGATGGGAGGTACGGGAAGTAACAATAAATCTGCGGGGCCGTCCAAAAGTAAGAAAAATTAAGGCTTCCCACTTCAATATTTTAATTGCACAGTTACACTGTTTATGTTTTCATCTTGCTTTCCTTGGCCACATTAAATCTGCTGCATATACTTTTACCAAGTAGCAGGCTAACATACACAGCGCTATGATGTTTGCTGTACAGTCAGACAGAAGTTGGTGCAGTGAACATAGCAGTGTTCTACTATGTAGTAATTAGTTTTAAGCACCACAAATTCTTACAGTGAAACAGTTGACAAAACATTGTTGTAAAAGTCTGTGACTGGTGAAGTTACACTAGGTCAGGCACGGAGCCACGGAGCCACTTCCTTCTTTTTCCAAAATAAAAGCCTTCATGAGTTTTTAACATAGGATGTCATCTACTTTTTTCCCAAACCCGGGACATCCCAGGCTTAGTAGAATGACGTCACAGATTGCTGATTAGCCAGCGGGTATGCCGCTGCCAGGCGCATAAGGTGCGGTGAAACTGTCCTACACCT